TTACACACTCATTCCATATTCAATCACTTATTCTCTCATTCACTCATTCATTCAACTAATCACTTATCCAGTATTCATTCATTCATTCATCCAATTCATTTATTCATTTAATCCACTGTAATAGGACATTCATTTGCCCATTCATTGCCATTTTATCAGTTAGATTCAGTAGAGCTTACCTCAGTTTTATCAGGCTCTTCAAACCTAGCTTCATTTTGAGCTCTCAATAAAAGTTTCAATGGTATTTTGTTATGTTAAAGAATAGTAAATTTTTCTTATAAGTTATACTTTTTAGACGACACGAAGGAGAATTCAACTGAAGAGATCTCATCAAGAAGCCGAGCATCAAGTTGTGCTGAAGCCACAACTCCAAGGAACCAGTAAGTATCCTTTTATTCGTTATCATACATGCTCTTCAAACACTATCAACACAGGCTTTCTGTTTGCCGAACTCATAGTAGCGGTGTTGGTGGCGGTAGCATGCAGAAGGACACTCACTTGAACTATAAATCTGCATCATCAGCAACTCCATCAGAAAAAGGTACGAAAGGGTGCTTTGACTCTGATACCAAAATCGAGAAAAACGAAATTCAGCTGTTGTGAAAAGTGCATCAACAAAAAGCGCCAAGAATGGTGTTTCACCACTACGGTCACAACTCTCGAAAGACAAACCCACCTCAAGCAGCTCACACGGTTCGCTTACTTTTTTTGGAAATGTTATGAATTTTGAGTTTTATATATTCCAATCTGTTTTTTCAGCAATCCCCAGCTCTATGCCTCTGATTGTGACATGCTTGAACCTAAGTTCTGCTCAAGTGTTGTTTATTCGGAAGACGTGGGCTCATGCCCGGAATCAAGGATCTCTTGAACCGGCGTTGAGCATATTCAGGTATGAAATGGAGATACAAAAAAAAAGTCAAGCAAGTCTACTATAACATACCTTTAACGAAATGTAATTAACTTTTATGTTATTCTAAGTGAATGTGCGGACTAAAGAGGAAGTTCTATATGCGTTTCGCTGGACTTTCCAAACTAGAAGAATTTGTTAAACTTGAAATCCAATAAACTTCTTATATGCTGTGTCTGCAAACATAATCTTCTTTAGCTGTCGTCACATCAAGTCAATTATGCTTCTCAGCAATCTATTTATCATAAGTTTCTTCCCTCCTAAGATGTGCATCTTCTTCCACATGAATAAACTTAAATTAGCTTCTACTGCTGACTGCTACTCGTCCATTAAGGGATCTCCAGAAATTTGGTTTAATTCTTTTGAATATTCGAACCTAAC